GAACACTGAAACAACCTCTGGGCTGATCTAAGTCAGGGCATGGCTAACTCACAGATCGAACACTGAAACAACCTCTGGGCTGATCTAAGTCAGGGAACGACTAACTCACAGATTGAACTGAAATTTCAAAATATCTAAAAGTTGTAGTTTCATACATGACAAAAAAGTAACAGAACCGTGTTGGAAACAAGAAGGGGAAAAAGTCGAATAATACCAGAATCATATACAAAACCTTACTATATATAATATATATTTTTGTAACAAGTTCCTAATTCTCATGCTAAAGAAAACAAAAAATATATATACAAACCTTGGGCGGCCAGAGCCGTAGCAGCGAGGCAAAGAACAGCAATGACCAGCATCGTTATTAGAATTGAGAACGAATCTCTGATGTACAATAGATGTGAGTGAACTAGCACCTACAAGGCTTTCGGTTTTATACTAGATTCAATGATATACTTTTGGTGCGGGCGTATTTGAAGATATAGTTCCTAAACATCTGAAATAACAAGTTAACAGTTGGTCAAATTTTGGTTAATCCTTTAAAATGTAAAAAGAAATCGCTATGTTGAGTTACATTAGCAAGACTAACAGTGAACAATGGGTTTGCATTGTTTATTTGATTTATTATTTAACAAAAAACTTTATCTACGAATACTTAAAGTAATGCTTGATTGTTTTTGAGTATTATAGAATTATTTTCTAGCCTGTCTTTTTGAACCTTTTTTATTACACTTTTAGGATTTTTAAAAGTTAAAAAGAACTAATTAAAGAAATAAAAAAGAGTGAGAAATTAGTAAATAAGTTTATTATTTGCATAGAAATATAAAGTCTTCAGTTTCGAGATTTTTGAATTGATACACAACGTGCTTTAATTAAAAAAGAAAGAAAGAAAGAAAAAATGAGAAAAAGAAAGAAAAAAGAGAGAAAGAAAGAAAGAAAGAAAGAAAGAAATGGAAAAATAGAAAGACGAATTAGATGAAATATCTTCTCCCGTTGACCATAGGAACTATCTGTCTTTTAAAAAAGAGAAATAGATAAATCAATAGCTTATTTTTCTAATAAGGTTTGTTTGAACAGGCGAATTGCGATCCTTTTGCAGCTTGATGTCTTGCCTTATGCCTTCGATACATCTATTTATAAAAATATACTTTAAATATAACATTTCAACTTTTTCAATAACTTTTGGATTTATTGATTGTTTTCCAAATGTTCTGTAAACAACGAGCGCTTAAAATACTAGAAAGTGGACAATAGATACAACACCAATATGTACGTAGCTGTTTGGGTGTAAAGTGTGTCTTAATGCTATTTGTTGAATGATCTTTTGTAGATGATTACAACCGAATAGTATTATCAAATGTGTAATGTTAGTTTCTTAAGGATTTCTAGCAATTTTATCTTTCAAAATGTTTGAATAGAAATGCACGGTAAGTGAATCGACGAATCATGAGAAATTATAAAAATAAGAATAACAGCACGACACACTTATGACACTGAGCTTTTCAAACATGGAAGGAATGAATGTAACGATTTTTATGTCACGACGCCTGCTGCCTCGATCAGGACAGCAGTGATAACAGTGGTGTAAGAGAAAGTAGAAGGTTTTTGTATGGACAAAGATATGCGGGACGTCTGGGAAAACATCCAGGAAGCTATGAAAACGAAGGGGCTTACTCAAAGTAAGTTTAACGTCTGTCTAATTTTACCATTACCGCAACTACGTTTCAAAAAATCAACCTCTCCTCAGACTTCCCCTTCTTTTTTTTGACAAAAGGGATCCCGAAAAAGAAATAACAAAAGTTAATGTTCTAAATAATTATCACATGAGATTAGATTGCTATCTTTATTGCTCCATGTTAACACAGACAATAAGCATGTTTAGCTACCAATAGTTTGTCTTAGAATATACGATGAAGTTCATTGAATAATGAGTTTAATTAGTTGTTGGCCATTTTTTTCTGGATCCATGAGTGAAGGTACTTGACGCGTGCGTAGACGCCGTACTTGTCAGGAAAAGCACATCCGTATCCCCATCTGGTGGCACCGTGAAGGTAGAATCTGCCTCCATTCTCACACACCATTGGTCCACCAGAATCACCTGAAAATAGTAATAATAATAGCTTACGCCTTTTGTCCATCCATGCATCCATGCATCCATGCGTCCATGCGTCCATGCGTCCATGCATCCATGCATGCATGCAT